CTTTGGGCCACTGGAATTCTGAGCCTGACTGGAGGCATATTTATTCCCCAGCATAAATCAGAGCAGACCCAGAGGCTGCTCCGATTTAAAATAGCTTCCCACAGCTGCCTATAGATCCCCATTCCACCAACCCAGCAGGAGAAAAGCGATCTCTAGTCACACACCCTCTTGCTCTACATTACAGGCTATACAGGGAACCAGGACAGGCTTCTCTCTCTCTCACACACACACACACACCCTGCAGTAGGTGATATCAAAGAAAACAGCACTTAATACATTTGCAAGAGACAGTCCCATGCATCAGCAATCCTCAAAGAGGCATTGGGCTTTGTAGGCCTGTGGTGCACACTAGCTCCAGGACACCTGCATTTTCGATCTAATTCACTAATTGGCAGAAGGGAAAAAGCCATTTATTCACAGGTGGGAGATTAGCCAAGGCTTACAAATTGAACTGCCTCTTGGATTGCATGAGTTCTGGCCCCTCTCTGGCAGCACGGTTGCAGACATGCACGTCCACACCGCAGCCAACATGGGTTCTTTACACTTGCCATGTCCATTACAGAAATTAAACCCAGAAGATTAAATGTCCCCTAAAAACAAACAAACTGGGACAGAACAATGGTCCATCTAGCCCAGTATCCTGCCTTCTAACGCCTCAGAAGGAATCAACAAAACAGGGCAATTTCATCCCGTCGTCCAATCCCAGTTGGAAGTTGAGGGACACCTGGAGCATGGGGTTGTGTCCCTGACCATCTTGGCTAATAGCCATTGATGGACCTATTCTCCAGGAACTTATCTAACTTTTTTGAACTGAATTATATTTTTGGCCTTCACAACATCCCCAACGACTCCCACAAGCTGATTGTGCGTTGTGTGAAGCAGTACTTCCTTTTGTTTGTTTTAAACCTCTTGCCTATTACTTTCATCAGATGATCCTTACTTCTTGTGCTAGGTGATGGGATAAATAACAGTTCTATTCACTTTCTCCACATCCTTCATCATTTTATAGACCTCTCTCATATTCCCCCTTCGTCGTCTCTTTTCTAGGCTGACCAGTCCAAGTCTTTTTAGCCACGCCTCTAATCATTTTTATTGCCCTTCTCTGTCCCTTTTCCAATTCTAATATATCTTTTTTGAAATAGAACAACCAGGTGTGGGCATACCATGGATTTACATAGCAACATTATGATTTTTCTGTTTCATGATCTATCCCTTTCCTAATGGTTCCGAACACTGTTAGCTTTTCTGACTGCCTCTGCACACCGAGCGGATGTTTTCAGAGAACTACCCACAATGACTCCAAGATCTTTCTTGAGCAGTAACAGCGAATTTAGCCCCCATCGTTTTGTTTGTAAGTAAATTGGTGTGGATTGAAGTTAAATGTGGGTCAATAATATTATTTGTATTATGGTGGCACCTGGAGTAATCAATCTGGATCAGGGCCCCATTGTGCTAGACACTAACACACATAGCAAGAGCTTATTGTTCAAATAGACAAGAAATGGGGAAACAAAAGCACAGAGAAGAAGGGATTTGCCCAAGGTCACACAGCAGGTGAGTAGGAGAACTGGGAAGGTCTCCTGACTCCCACATCAGTGTCCATCCACTAGTTCATGCCACCTCTACTAATGAGGGTCCGTTGAGAGGTACCGTTCCAAGAAGGGTTTGTCACTTTCAATGTTTTTCAAGGTTGTTTAACTGCTGGTGACTCCAACAAAAGAGTAGTCCTCCAGACATCCAACATAGCACTTTAGAACTTCATGCCAGGGGAATTTCTCCGCAGAAGCAAGTGATCTTAAGGACTTCAATGCAAAGTCTAAGGATCCTCCACCTAATGTCTTCTACTGACCTGGAGCAAATTCACATTTCATCTACCTTTCCTAAGTCCATGTGCTGGTCCTAGTCTTTGTGGTGTTTAAGCATGCCGGGGGAAAAGATTGTACCTGTTGGGTGGCCAGATCTTCAGTTGCTGTAAGAATCATGTACCACGTCAGTCATCTCCCAGACTCAGACTTCCAAGATTTCTGGTGGTGGCTTTAATTTGTTCCTGGATTCAGGCTCCCTACACATTGGTCTAAGAGGAAACACACACAGAGCTGGCTACAGCACCTGACACACTGGCATCTCCCATCCACCTTGTGGTGATCACCACCACGATTTTACAGTGAGCTCAAGCATCTCTGGGCACAATGTCCGCGACTGGTTTAATAAGTAAGGATCAAGTACACTTCGAATCCAAAGAGAGGAAAAAAGAGTGGATTGGGTGCACAGCCTGCCCAGTCACTGTCTGACAATATCCACTCTGAAAGGAAATAGCTGCTGTTCCAGCTAATCACTGCCCTGCAGTTAACTAGGTGCCTCTGCTAAGCCAAGCTTTCTGCCGAATCAGGTACCACTGCCAGGAATTAAATTGAGTCTGCAGTGGAGGAGTTTTTATTTTCTATTAAATCAAAGAAGGGCCAAGTCACAGACAAATTCTCCTGGATGAAACTCACCATGGAGTATGAGCTGACCAGCAACTGATGAGCTGTAGCTTTGGAATGGCACCTAATCTCTTGAGGTTTGTAACAATGCGGCTTCCATCTTAGAAAGAAATCATGGGGTACGTTTCAAAACCCGCTGTAGTGAGTCTCGGACCAGGGGCTCATGTGACAGCACTAAAAATAGCTGTTCGTAGAGGTTCAGGATCAGGCTGGAGCTCAGAATCTGAAGCCTGGGGAAGAAGGCGGGTTTTGAAGGCCGAGCTCCAGCTCAGTTCACATCTACACTGCTGTTTTCAGTGCAGTAGCCTGAGCCCTGCTGAGTCCACAGACCTGGGCTCTGAGACTCGCTGCTGCAGGTTTTAAACCCCAGGGGTAGACGCACCCACGCTGAAGGTCTTGAAGGATAACAGAATGGCACAACTGGCAAATTTACCAGCATCCTCATCCCCAGAAAACGTCCATTGCACAGTCAGCTCCAGAGGAAAAACAAACACATTGAGCCTGATCCATGGAGGGCCGTGAGTCAACATAGCTCGTTGGAGATCACGAGAGCAATGGTACTTGGGCCAGAATTTCACCTGCTGTTAGAGTCCATATCCCAGATCTTGTCTCCAGTACCTCCCTCTCTCTCTCACATGGTGTGAAAACAGGCCATGGAATGAGCCTTCTCTTCACTGTCACTTCTCCCTTCCACTAGCTCTAGCATTCAGAGCCTCACCCCTCCGTCCCTATAGCCAGGATCAACACCCTGCCTAAGCCACCTCTCGATTTATTTCCTTGCTCTCTCTTGTGTCTTGCGCACAGCGGAGGGCTTTTAAGTGTGGCAAGGACTGGAGGAGTGGGGGCTGGTTTAATTACCTGGGTCCTCTGCAGTTTGTTAACTCTTTGCTGCCGTTACCCAGTTTGTGATTTCTGCACCAAGGGCAGGCAGCATTAAGAGGACTGGGCCATGGAGGGCTAGAGAGGGGAGTAGTTCTGCCTGTCGCCTTAGCCAGGCCATGCCTTAGGCTTTGCAATGCTTTGGTTTGGCTGCTCTGATCAAGACAGAGCATTGTACATGGCATCTTGTCCTTTTCTGGGACCACACTGCTTGCACCAAGACTGAGCAGTGCCTACCAAGCTCCTGTATTGCCCGCAGGTGGCACTTTGAACTCTGGCAGCATTTGACCACGAGCCACACTTCGGCAACGTATACTGTGGTGCAGCTTCTCCTGGCAACCCTGCCTGCTACTTCTGCCCACCTTAGACGGAAGGACAAGGCCCCAATCAGATGCTTTCCCTTTCCTTCCCTGCCTATTAGCTTGCTAACGCCCAAGGGGGGGGGGGGCAGTGTCCTGAAGAGAGACGCACCACAAAGAGAATAAAGCAAGAAATGAGAAATTGATCTCGTTTTTTTAACATAAGTAACATTTTCTGGAACAGCTATTAACTGACTCAGTGTTCCTGGCGTAAAATAATTCACAGGGACAGAGCATAGCCCCCAGTCCATGAGGGACAGAGGGTGGGAACGGTCCAGTGTATATTAGAGCTAAATGCAAACACCAGCTTTCACACTCCTGAGGAAGTGATCTTGTGATATGCTGCAGAACCAAGTATTCAGAGCACTGGTCTCCAGGCAGATGTGGCTTTGTTCATTTCTCATTATAAGATGGAATTCAAGAGGGCTCTAGTACTCCTGGGCATCATCACATTGCTTAGCCCCCGGCTCATTCAGGCATACAGCTTCTTTGCTCTTATCCATCCCCCAGTCCCTGATCTACACCCACAACTATCCATCAGGGCTAGGACAGAATTGAGACTGTCCACCCTGGCCATGGTCAAGGCCATCCCAGCCTAAAGCCCTGACTTGAAAGCCCCCTCCCTAAGGCTAACAGGAGATATTGCTTTCCCCACACTGTTCCACCTCTTCCCCCATCATCCGGGCTGATGCCTCCCTGGGTGGAGAACAACCAGGGCACTGCTCTTCCACTGGACCAGGGATGCGGGGATGTCCTGGAATGACTATCAACCTGCCCTTCCAGGGATTTGTAATGGCCCCTTAGTTACTGTGTCCTTTGAGAGGTAACAGTGATAAAGCAAAGCCCCCTCCACCCCAGCCTGATGGAAATGCTCTTCTGACGCACCACAGATCCGAGCCAGTAGTCCCGAGGATCCCCAGGGTCAGCTCAGACCCCATACACTGACGCCAGGCCGTCTGAACGGCACCCTAACAACCGCAGCAGCGCCGATGTGAACAGACCCTGCTCTCCAGCCGGCTGCCCTCGGACCCTTCGGGGCTGGCGCTGAACTGCGCTCCCCCGAGGGCTGAAATCGCTGCAGACGCGTGCTCCGGGAACCCGAGCTGCACGGGGGAGACCTTCCCCCCGCCACCCGCTGTGGGAATCTCCCGGGCGCTTCGTGGCCGGCGAACGCGGCCCGTTTCCTCCCAGGGAAGGCGCAGATTCCGCCCCCCCCCCCACGCGGGTCTCGCAGCACCTCCTCTCCGCGGACCCCCCCCCCCAAGAACAGACGTCACGAGTCCTGGAGCCTCCCCACCCCCACTCACCACCGCGTGTCTCTCGCCTCCTCGCCCGCTGCAGACAAGGCGCCGGCTGCTGCTTCCCCAGGTACGTCCCGACCTGTTCGCGCCCCGGATCCGGCTGCGCTGCCGGGGGCAGGACGAGCGGAGGGCGGCGGGGTCCGCCCCTCGGGCATCGCTGACGGGGCGGGAGAGAAGGTGCCGCTCAGGTCCGGGGGGGAAATGCAGCCGCCGTCTCCCCCCCCCCCACCCCCGCGGGGGACCAGGGCCGGGGCCCCCGTGCTGCAGCTAAGGGGAACACACGGCGGCGTGCAAAACAGTGAGCTCCCGCCCCTCACGGGGAGAGCGGGTCACTCGCTGCCCTGGGCGGGACCCCTCTGCAGCGAGGGGCTGGCGTGGCCACCGCAGGCTGCTCTCCACCCCTGGGTCCCTTCTGCTCAGTCTCGGCCGGGCGCCGGAGGGTCTGTGCCGCCCCTCGCTCCTTCCCGGCCGGCGTGCCCGGGAGTCCCGGGCCGCCCCCTGCCTGCCTGGGCTCCAGGCTCTCAGGGCTGGAGGCGGGATTAGGAGCCTGGTGTAGCCCAGGCGCCCTGCCCTGGTACCTCGGTCCAGGAGCTGCTGCAGGGGATGTGCTCCCGGTGCCTGGCTGCTGGCACAGCGGTGGGGCAGCGCTAGGGCTTAATTTGTGCCAGAGCGGAGGCCCGGCCCCTCTCAGCTTGGCAGTTCGCAGCCCAGGCACTGGGCTTGCTGCATCAGTTATGAATATTAAAAAAAATTGCTTAAGGGCCAGCACCTCTTTCATGACACGGTAAGCAAGGAGCAGCACATTCCAGGGTGTGGGTCAGACTCAGATGCCCGGAGCCTGTCACATGTAGGATTCCCGAGCCCCAGCAGGGATCAAGGCAAATGCTAGCTCCTTGTATGTAAAAGCCCCCTGATAGACCTGACAGGGTTGATGGGAAACCACTCCCTTTGCTGCCAGGGGACAAGGGTTGTGTGCAGCGTGTCTATACAATACTCCTGGGGGCTGTGTTTTGGGAAAACAAGAGGCTCCTTAGCCTCTCCCAGGGTAGAGGCTTTTCCCTACAATAACGTTAATACAAACATTTATTAGCCTCTCCTGGTAACTACAGGAGCTGAACGTTGCTGCAGCTCTGGGACTGACTCAGTAAAGGGGAGACAGGGGAGGAATTGTTGCATTGTCAGTCCAGGTCCAATGGACTGAACCAAACAGGAAGCCACCATGAGCCCAGAGGCTCCAGTTGTCATCAGAACAAGCATGTGCTTTTACATTTTCAGTTTATTTAAAACAATCCTTTGAAGATATGCCTTATCAACTATGCTGAAGGGATTTTATGCAAGACAATGCAGTCCAGTGCTTAGAGTACCAGGCTAGACAAGATCTGGGATTTTAGTCCCAGATATGCCTCTGGCTGTGTGGCTTTCGGCAAGTCACAGCAACTTGGTGTGCCTCAGTTTCCCAATTTGCAGAATTGGTAAAATAACTCAGCTTGGTGCAATAAGCAAGGATTAATGTTTGTAAAATGCTTTGGGCATCAGTACAATGCATCTACATTTAAATAAAAATGAAATGTTACCATAACGACTGTCAGGGGGATAAGTCAGAGCACAGACATGTGTATGTTAAACCATTATGATAACACTGCAATTTTATTTAAACTTTTAAAATGTTCAGGAACCTACTAGGGTCCACCTGTAGAAGCATTAGGTCTATCTGCATGTGTGTAAGGAAGACTAAGGTGCCCTGAGCGGTGAATGATTTGCACTTGGGTACTTCTCCAGCAAGATTTTTCTATTAAAAAAGTTCTGCTAGATGATCTCCCTGTTTGTGTGCACATTCGGTTGCTCAGTTATCAGTTACATGTGAAAGAGCAATAGTTTGCATGGGACGGGGGATTGCTCTTGTCCCCTTTCCATACGTCTATATGCTCCCTTAGGTCTTCCAGTCCCCGCCTGACTTTGCAGGATATAATACACATAGCATTCTATCCACTGACAACTTTACCCCTCTCCTAGTTTTTCTGAAATGACACCCTGATATAAAGTAGCCAGCAATATCTCCTATAGGAGCAAGGAAGGGAGAATGCAGTCACACCACCACCACATACATACACATGGTAGCATTTTCAAAAGCACATAAGTAACTTAGGCGCTGTTGAAGGTGTTACCCATACACATTAAAATGAGCACTGGAAGAAATAGCCTATTAAAAACTGAATGAAATGATTTACTCATCAGTTCTTTTGGTGACTATTGGGTCCAACACTATATAAAATAGTAACAGTGACAGTAAGTCCCCCATTTCATTCATCCTACCTGCTGGAGGATTGTGAGGCTGTAATTAATGTCTGTAAAGTATTTCGAGCTCATCAGACGGAAGGTGCTATAGAAGAGGGTAAAGAATTATTATAACATGATCCATCGGGGAACACAACATATAAAACCCTAGAGAGAGAAGAATGAAGTTAGGGTAATGGATCTGCTTAATACATATTAATACCCGAAGGAGTCTGTGTTGGAATCTACCCTTTTCTAGAAATAAAACAAAGCAAGTGGCTCCCCTTGAAACCATTCACTAGACCTTATCTGCATCTTTAGGCACCTAAATACTATCACAAATCTAGCCCTTAATCCTGCAAACCTTTACTCATGAGGCATATTTTTCAATGCAGCTAGATGCATGAGGATGATACAGTAAGAGCTTGGATGATTCCCTTCCCCCCTGCAATAATAAAACAGACTAATCTCAGCTACAGTGTGACAGGTAAATTGTCTTACCAATAATGCATATCTATGCATGGGAAACCCTCTCAGCCTGGGAATGACTCATGCCAGGGAGACTAAATGAAGCATCTGTTTCAAAGTGACAAACATTTATAATGTCTCCAGGAAAATAAGTCTGAGTAGAATCAGGTGGTAACTGTGGGGACAGGACACTTTAATTTACCCTTATGGTATGAAGCACACAAGTCCCTGCACCTTCTGTAGCCATTCACCCCAGTGCAAAGTGGTTGCAAAATGACACAGTCCTGATTGGGTGGTACTTTACATTGATACAGTAATGATGAGTTAGGCTCTGGTGCATTTTATTTTCTCCTTGAGTAGAGGAGCCTGATCTTGCAAGGTGTTGAGTGAGCACCATCAATTTCCTCTGAAGCCAGTGGGAGTAGCAGGTCTTCACCACCCCTCAAGATTGAACCCAGCAGAAAATTTGTACTCCTTTGACCTCAACAGCTGGGCCCACTTAGTGCAGGATGCATCAGCCTAAACATGGGAGTATGTGTAAGCAAGTACCACCTGGGCCAGGGGAATGCGAATTTTGTTTGCATAAGGGTTAAACACCCTGGCTTCTCTTAGTGCCCTCCCTTCCTCTCACAGACCTTGACTCTCTATATATCAAGAGTTCAGCCTCTTAGTCAAAAAGTCTTTTTCAATACATGTCAACAAACAAATTGAGAAAATTGCCTTCGGCCTTGCATCTTCCTTTGTACTGGAAATAAGAGGATTATCTGAAAGCAGCAGTAGCAAGCAGTGATTGCAGATCTTGGGAAGGGACCTACTGAGTGATTAGAGCATTTGCTGATAATTAGCTAATGTTCTTTATATGCACTCTGGGCTTTTCATTTAGGTTGACAGGCTATGAATTTTCTGCACTATGACTGCTTATTTACAGTAGAACACATAATTTAACCAATTAATCAGTTTCAACAGACTCAGCTAGCATCCCTCAGATATTCAAAGTGCCTAGTTAAATTAATTAGTCTCCAAACACTTCACAGAAATTCAGAGGGGAAGAAACAAAATCCAAAAGATTCCTTCTCGGAATCTGAAATCCATAGTTTGTATGAAAGTGAGTAGAATGATGTATAAAAGAAACAGCTTAGAGGGTGGTTTTTAAATGACCTAAGCCCAGGTTAGGGCTAGATCATGGAAGAATGCTGAGACAATCCCATGAGGTTCTGGGCATTTTTTCCTCCCACCAGACCAACACTACATATAACCTATTCTCCCAGGGTCCAATGCTGTCTCCTCTCAGTACTTGTGCTGTTTTATTCTACAGATGTTCTCAATTATGCCGTTACTGTCACCTCCAAAACACATCTATCCTAGGGAGCAACGTCAATATATTGAGAATAATTTATAGAATTAGAACAAGAATAATTCATAAGTAATTGTCAATTACAGGGAATAATTTATAGGTAGCTGATTTACAAAGAGAATAATTTATGAGCAACTGAATTGCATGTAGAACCATTTACGGATAACTGTCAGCTCTGGAGGGAATATACTGACTATACCCAACTGAGAGATGAAGCTGTATTTTTAGGGAGCATTCCTGGGGAAAATATCAACCATTAGAATAAAGTTCAAGTCACAAACTCCCCAGCAAAAGTGGTTGTATAATATGTACAATATAGTGTGAAGTCCCGAGGTACCAACAAAAGCCACACTTACACCACAAACAGCTAATATTCTTCTCAGAAGGTCCCATCTTACGGCATCTGCTCATCCAGATAACAATGCCTGGGCTGGAGTCTTTCAGCTCATCTTACAGCTCCTGTAAGAAGACTGCTTCAGTGCTCCAAGCCTTTGCTGGTCTGGAGTGTGAGAGATGAAAAGCCAAAGTCTTTGGTTCTAAGTGTGTGTATCTGTCTCTAGGCAACTGACAATCCACTTGATCATGGTGTGCACGTTGGAGGTCTAGTTAGGTGCCCAATGAATCTGCTTATGGCTGACAAGCCCAAGATCCATGTGTTGTCTGAGTTGGAGACCAAGATGACAGCATGCTGCTCTCTTTTTTTCTTGCTTTGCTTCCATCCTCTGGATCAAAGCTGGTTCATGTTGAGCTGCAGCCAGTGCCAGATGTTCCCTCCAGATTGGATGGGATTCTGCGCCCTCCTCCCAGCTTTCTACATGGATGTTGAATGACTTCATATCGTTTTTGTACACATTGTGGTATCGCCATATAGGGTGACTCCGCTTTCTAGAGCTGTCACAAATCTCTGGACAAAATATTCTTGGGGGTTTGGTCTCCTCCTATTCTCTCAACATGATTGAGCCATTGCAACCTCTTCTTAATAGTGGTTTCTGAGTGCGTCCGTGCTGCATGCTCCAGCACCTCTGTGCTTGGTATTTTGTCTTCCCACTTTATTTTCAGGTTCTTGCGCAGGCATCTCATATGGAAGCTGTTCAGTCTCCTGACGTGCCTAGCGTACATAGTCCAGGTTTCTGAGCCAGAGAGCAGGGATGACACCATGCAAGACTCCTAGATTTGCATCTTCCCCTTGGGCAATAGTTTGCAGCAAGTGGGATATTTTTCTAAAAGATCTGCTCTAGGAATTATTTTGGGGAAGTTCTATGGTCTGGGTTATACAGGAAGTCAGACTAGATGATCGCAATGGTCTCTTCTGCCCATGGAATCTATGGATACATCCACTGGCAGATCCAGAGGGCTGGGCACAAACAGTGTTGTAGATGGTTTCTGAATGTAAAGCTTTGATTGGGGTAAGTCCCTACTGCCTCCCTCAGTGTTACCGACAGGTTTCAGAGTAACAGCCGTGTTAGTCTGTATTCGCAAAAGAAAAGGAGTACTTGTGGCACCTTAGAGACTAACAAATTTATTTGAGCATGAGCTTTCGTGAGCTACAAGTCCCTTCATTGGATGCATCCTGCTCATCCCTTTCTCTCTCTGGAGCTCTCCTTTTCAGCCTCAGGAAGGCCACACAAAAATGAGTCACTGTTAATGCTTGTTTACACATGTTTAGTCTTTCCAAAGGTTATGTTTATTTGGTTGTAAAGCATCTCGGACATACAGAAAAGTTATATATAAAATTTGGCCCATGGTCTTTATTAACAATTAATGAATTATTGGTAGCGCTACCCAATAGGGCCACTGATTGTCACTCTTACTCCACAGAAATACGACTGCAGGTGCCATTATCTAGCTGTACACATGGAGGTGGATTGCATTTGCAAGAGCCAGTTTCCTGGGGCCATCCTCTGGTTCATTAACTATTTACATATGCATAGACACAGAGTACTCCTGAAACAGATATCACCACAAAAGGCAGTGACTCCAAGCCAGCAGCACCACAGAACTCTGAGCACCCAGTGATATCTCAGCTGAAATAGTTAGGCAGATTTACTCAAGTGCAAATCCCCAAGTCCCTTGTGAGGCTAAATCCTGATGATTTGATTCACTTTCTACAGGCAGTGCTACAGCCCTAGGGCCCGTCAGCAATGTTGCAGTGCAGACATGCTCAGGAATTCAGCTTTGGGCCCCGAGCTCTGAAGGACGCACTCATCTCTACCAACCCTGCCCTGCAGGAGCTCTATGCCAAAGCCTTCTCCAGTGCAGAGAAACTTTTCCTCTCCGAAGCATACAATCCCCAGAGGACACTCTTCTGCACTCTGTTGATCAGGACTGCCTTCGACTGGCTCCTCAGCCATCCTGATGCCCCTGAGGACTTCGAGACCTTCTATCACTCCATGCTGACGAAGAAGCAGCGTTTCTGCCAGAAGCATATATACCTGCAGCCTATAGGTAACGCAGGCCAGGAGCCACAGCATCTTTGATGTGGGACACCTTTTAAGAAACGGGAGTTTGTTGTTTTTTAAACATTGTCAACCCTCCATCGTTACCTCAGCCTCCTCTGTCCAAGGGCTGAGCCTGCAAATGGCCAATGCCACAGCAAGGCCTTTTTGGGCAACCTTTACATTTGGATCATACGTAGTGGTGCTAAGGGCTGCCTTTGATCCACAGTAAGGAGCCATTGCTGACAACTGGAGATCGGGTCCCAACCCAAGGGCATTATGTGCCCTTGGGAGTGGTTTCTCCATGAATAACTGGCAAGAAATACATACAAAATGGTGAACTAAGAAAGTGGTCCCAGAGACTCCCCCTCCCGGCTAAGCTCTCTGCATGGCCTGCCTACCCCCAAATGACTTCCCAGACACCCCACATAGAGCTAACTTCTTTCAGTGGCCTGCCCTGTAAATGACTAGACAGATACTCCCCATAGCACCTAATCCCCTAAGCAGCCCGTCCCTGAGAAACACCCCCTAGTCGGAATGACTGGCTCCAGAGAGACCTGGCAACACCCTGAAACACCCTTCGAGAGCTAACCCCTTACCATACCTTTGACTAGCCCCAAATAAATCCCTTAAGACATTTTGACCTGCCCCTGTGTACAAGTAACTGACATCGGTGCTTCTGCTCTTAGATCTAATTGAAGAGTCTGCCGGGATCTCGCTGCTGGATTCCCTCAGAAGCTGCCTAGAGTCTTTCTTCTTGGGCCTTCGCGTCAAGTGCCTTCCCTCTGTTCCCATCTCCTCCATCCGCTGCTGCTATCGACAGAGCCAAGATTCAGACAGAGCGCAGCTCCATGCAGGTAAGGAGGGAGAAGAGTGGAGCCAGCAGAGAAGTCTGTCTGGCACACTGGCTCATGGCAGTCTCTCGGCCCCCATTCGCTCCCTTAGGAAATGCCTGTAATATCACCTCGCTGCCTACACAGAGGAGGAAGGGAGGGAAGAGGGGGAAATCCTGTTTTCATGGAAAACCCAGCTTTTGGGCTGGAAACCACAACAATAACTAGCCAGGAGGGCAGTTCTCATCATACTTTTTCCTTTAGGTTTTTATTTTTCAGAGTTTTTAATCTTTAAAGTCAGTTTTGCCAGGTAAAAGCTGCTGCTCACCTTCCCTCAGTGAGTACAACATGCTTTTAGATTTCATTCTGTTTGACTATTTTATGTCATTTCCTCATTTGTTGCCTAAAGCCAAATTAAATGAATGCCTGGGTGGGTTAATGCACTAGCCTTTCATATGAGGAAATTTGAGTTCAAATATCAGTTAGGTCTCAGGTGAAATGGGTTTGTTGGTTGCCAGGCTAGTGTTGCAGGACCATTCGTCCACAATGCAAGATTGCCACGCTGCTTGGTACAGCTGACAGTGCTTGCTCTGGAAAGGCCCAGTGCTGGAACAGTAGGGCTGTTGCAGGTCAGGTGTGAGGTGCCCATAGGGAAATTCTTTGCTCTGACCCATCCTTCCTTTCTTTCATGTGGCTTGGCACAGGATTCACTTGTGTCTTTGTCCTTAGAATTCTCTTTCGGCTTTATTCTATGCAGCAGCAGCATCTCCAGGGAAGCCAGGTCTAATGGTGCCCAGAGTAGAGGGAATGGGTGATAAAGAGCAAGAAAAAGGACCACCCCCTTCACCCTGGATATTGAGTTCAGCGTCTCCACCAGCTTGTGGCTTGGACTTCAAGTTCCATCCCGGTGACAAGAGAAATGGGGGCTTTGGCATTGCCCTCTGGGCAGACTGGATTTTTACCTTCTCTCTTCCATTTATCCAGATGGGATCCTGACCTTCCTGAAGAACAACAAGCCTCCGGATGCCCTGTGTGTCCTTGGACTCACTCTCTTGGACCTGTACCCCTGTGAGACCTGGAGCTTCACCTTTGGCAAATTCCTGCCAGGACAAGGTGCAAGTGACGTCCCATATTCTTCCCATGCAGGGAATGAACAAGAAAGTGCTTTACCTTAAACCTGCTTGGGAGGCAGAGTACCCAGGCCTTCCCCACAACTTTAATCAACACCCCAGTGGTAGGAAACAGGATATCCCAATGTAAAGCATGAGAATTCAGGACTCAAAGCCACCAAGAGGCTGTTGGTCCAGGCAGGGAAGGCTGACTAGCTACAAGCTGGTGACTAAACATTAATAAGTCACCAGGACCAGCTGGTATTCACCCAAGAGTTCTGAAGGAACTCAAATGTGCAATTGCAGGTCTACTAACTGTTGTCTGTAACCTATCATTTAAATCAGCTTCTGTACCAAATGACTGGAGGATAGCTAATGTGATGCCAATTTTTAAAAAGAGCTCCAAAGTTGACCCCAGCAAGCCTGACTTCAGTACCGAGCAAACTGGTTGAAACTATAGTGAAGAACAGAATTGTCAGACACATAGATGAACATAATTTGTTGGGGAATAGTCAACATGGTTTTTGTAAAGGGAAATCATGCCTCACCAATCTACTAGAATTCTTTGAGGCAGTCAACAAGCATGTGGACAAGCGGGATCCAGTAGATATAGTGTATTTAGGTTTTCAGAAAGCCTTTGACAAGGTCCCTCACCAAAAGATCTTAAGCAAAGTAAGCACTCATGGGATAAGAGGGAAGGTTCTCTCATGGATTGCTAACTGGTTAAATGATAGGAAACAAAGGGTAGGAATAAATGCTCAGTTTTCAGACTGGAGAGAGGTAAATAGTGGTGTCCTCTAGAGGTCTGTACTGGGCCCAGTCCTATTCAACATATTCATAAATGATCTGGAAAAAGGGGGGAAACAGTGAGGTGGCAAAATTTGAAGATGATACAAAACTACTCAAGATAGTTAAGTCCTAGGCAGACTGCGAAGAGCTACAAAAGGATCTCTCAAAACTGGGTGACTGGGCAACAAAATGGCAGATGAAATTCAATGTTGATAAATGCAAAGTAATGCACATTGGAAAACATAATCCCAACTATACATATAAAATGATGGGGTCTAAATTAGCTGTGACCACTCAAGAAAGAGATCTTGGAGTCATTGTGGATAGTTCTCTGAAGACATCCACTCAATGTGCAGCAGCAGTCAAAAAAGCAAACAGATTGTTGGGAATCACTAAGAAAAGGGATAGATAATAAGACAGAAAATATCATATTGCCTCTATATAAACCCATGGTATGCCCATATCTTGAATACTGCAAGCAGATGTGGTCGACCATCTCAAAAAAGATGTATTGGAATTGGAAAAGGTTCAGAAAAGGGCAACAAAAATTATTAGGGGTATGGAACGGCTGCCATATGAGGAGAGACATGATAGAAGTCCATAAAATCATGACTGGTGTAGAGAAAGTAAATAAGGAAGTGTTGTTTACTTCTTCTCATAACACAAGAACTAGGGCTCCCCAAGTGAAATGAATAGACAGCAGGTTTAAAAAAAAACAAAGGAAGTATTTTTTCCACACAACACACACTCAGCCTGCGGAACTACTTGCCAGAGGACGTTGTGAAGGCCAAGACTATAACAGGGTTCAAAAAAGAACTAGATAAATTCATGGAGGATAGGTCCATCAATGGCTATTAGCTAGGATGGGCAGGGATGGTGTCCGTAGCCTCTGTTTGCCAGAAGCTGGGAATGGGTGACAGGAGATGGCTCACTTGATGATTACCTTTTCTGTTCATTCCCTCTGGGGCATCTGGCATTGGCTACTGTTGGAAGACAGGATACTGGGCTAGATGGACCTTTGGTCTGACCCAGTATGGCCGTTCTTATGTTTTAAGCCTTGAGGGGAGCACATGCCCCCAACATTCAGTGCAGTGGAGGGCGAAGCGCTATAATGGATGAAGCTAAAGCAGTTTGCCATCATGGGGCCTAAGGCTAGAGGTAGATGCTGGAGGCGGACGTTAGGCTAAGAGGACCTGTCTCACTTTTATTTGCCTCTTTTTGTAGAAGTGGGTGTCTGCAGCTTTGCCAGGTTTTCTGGCAATTTCCCCCAGCCAGGCTGCACCACCTTAAATCCAGCTACCAGGCGAGAGGAGCTGCACGAGGTCACTGAGAAGGCCCGAGACCGGCCGTTGCTGTTCAGTGTGCAGGAGATGGTTCAGTGTTGCAAGGTGCGGTTAGCAACCTACACAGAAGCCAATGTCCTGCAATGTGGGGTTTATGTGCCAGTAGCCTGTGACAGTTCCCTGAAAGAGGAGTGACACCGACCTAGCAAAAGCCATTGGAAGTTCCGGCAGTGTGCCTACGCTCACATAACACTTTACATCTTCAAAGCACGGCTTGACCATTCTCCACGACACTCCCAGGAGGCGAGTCTAGTAGTTAGAGCAGGACCTGGGACTCCTGGGTTGTAGCCTTGGCTCTGGGAGGGAATTGGGATCTATCATCTCCATTTTAGAGATAGGGAGAGGTCATGCAATTTGCCTTACATCGCACTGCAAGCGTGTGGCAGAACTGGGATTACGAACCAAGTTGTCTTTGGCTCCCAGTCTCATGCTCAAGACATTAGACTGTGCTGCCTGGCAGGCACTGGGTGGATGGATGGATAATACCTTCTCTCTCCCCGAGTCATTGTTCGTGGTCTGGTAGTCTCTTCGTAGGCAGTGTAGCAGAGTTGTGTATAGAATGTTGTGATGGATTCGGAAGGCAAGGTGTACGCAATTGCATCTCCCTCCAGTGGCTGCTGTCCATATCGGAGGAAAACCTGGTGCTAATCCCTGCCAGACCTGCCTGTGCAAGCTCATCAAAAAGCCTGAGAAAAGTTTGCACATATATTTATATGAAAATGTGCTTATTATCATAGAATCATAGAATATCAGGGTTGGAAGGGACCTCAGGAGGTCATCTAGTCCAACCCCCTGCTCAAAGCAGGACCAATCCCCAATTAAATCAATTAAATCCTCATAGACATATCCACGTCAGTGTTCCTTCCTCCTATGCTCTCTCCCAGCTGCCCCTTCTGGCCTGCGGTATTTCCTGCTGCAGGGCTGGCCCTGTATCTCCCTCCCTCTCGGCTTTCCCAGCTGGCACTTGGCATTCCCTGCCCTGGGCTCCTTCCCTAGCTCCCTCTGGATCGGACTGGGAGAGGGAGGCAGCCTGACTGGCTGGCAGGGGAAGGAGAGGGACTGGGAAGCCAGAGAGTGGTGGCTGCTGACTGAGGGCCCAGCTCTGCAGGCAGCAGCGCAGAAGTAAGGGTGGCGACACCATCCCAGCCATCCTTACTTCTGCGCTGCTGGTGGCGGCGGCTCTGCCTTCAGAGCTGGGTACCGGCCAGCAGCTGCTGCCTCCGAAGGCAGTGCAGAAGTAAGGGTGGCAACACCACTACCCACCCCTAAAATACCCCTGTGACCCTCCTGCAACTCCCTTTTGGGTCAGGACCCCCAATTTGAGAAACGCTGGTCTCCCCTGTGAAATCTGTGTAGCGTGTGCGCTTTTACCCTGTAAGACCAGATTTCACAGTCCCCGACGTGTTATTCATGGCTGTGAATTTGGTAGTGCCCTACCTATGCCTGTGTGCCACCTAAAGGGTCTTCTCTCAGTTCCTTACTAAAACATCATCCAAACTCTCCCTTCTCAGCCCATGCATCGACATTGCCTCTAGGGATAGTCTGGGATTCAGGGTACTGAGTTCCCCTCACACCCCAGAAAAGGGTCCTCCTTCTATGTCAGGGTTGGAGTGCATTAGTGGAAAAGTCTGGTGCATGTCCAAACAAGGAGCTTGGATTCCTCTTTCACCTCCCTGACTGAGGAAGGGTTGAGCAAGAGGAGGTTGTGGTGAAAGTTTGGTTTGTTTGTTTTTAACAACAAAGCAACTTTGCTTTCCTGAAGGTCACGTGTCATGAGATCTGCCACCTGATTGGCTTGGGGAACTGCAGATGGCTGCAGTGCATCATGCAGGGCGTGCTGAGTTTGGACGAAGCATTGTTGCGGCCCCTGGAGCCCTGCCCAGTTTGCCTCAGGAAGCTGCAATACGTTGTGGGCTTCAAACTCATCGAGCGCTACAGGGTGAGAGATGGACCACTGAGTGGTCCTGGGGGCAGAGGGGTAAAGCAAGAAGTTCTACAGCCAGGTCGCCCATCTGTGAATCTCAGCCTCTTGCCACCGTGTTAAAGTAAGGGCTGGGCTTAGAATTACACAGAGCTCTCTCCTGGCATTGGTTATGAGTTAGCAAGATATTTAACACAAGATCCAAAATAGAGAGGGTGGGCATCCCAGACACATTCACGGTGACCAGTTCTTCGCACTTTAAACACAATCTCCAAAGCTCTTTACAAACAATAATAGTACAACACCTGAGCACAAAACTATTCTCCCTGTTTTACTAATGAGGAAATGGAGGCAAAGGGAAAGTGACACAAGCAATGTCAGAACTGTGGTTAGCGTGTGGAAGTTCCTAGGTCCCAGTCCTCTGCTCAGACAGTTCTGTGTGATTTCCTGGCCCATCAAGGAAATGCTAATAGCACAACTAGCTTTAGACACCATCACTGCCCCTTATTGGAGGGAGATACTCCTTCCAGCATTATCTAGAGAGCTGGACTCTAGCCATGGGACAGGTTTATTACATAAAGCATCAAAATAAGCAAGCCGACAATTCATGCTCAGTGCCCTATCTTCTACATTATTTTATTAGTTGCATCATCTTCAGAGACTGGATTTTTCCAGGCTTGCCTATTTTAAACTTCGGTGCACTGTATTGTCACTTTGTATAAAGTTAGCTGTGCAGTTCCAGGAACTTTTCTAGGTTCTCCCCGCCAAGTTCTTGCTCATTCAGCTTGAAAGTCAGACACATTCACACAGAAGGATGTCAACATGCTTGGGGGAGAACACACTACCTGGTTGTGCTGCCACTCACTGAGATGGTGAGGCTAGAACTAGTGCTCTTCATCTAGATCCTGGGCCATCTGCTCTACATCCAAAACTGAGTGGTCCTCAGACCCAGCACATGCCAGAGCAACAATAGCAGCAAAAGTGCCCTCTGCAAGACAGCTCTCCCTTTCCCACAGAGAAACACTATCTGAATTAAATGTTGCCATAACTGATTTCCCTCCACACCTGTTTCATTGCAGTAATTAGCTCAGCTTCCCCGCAGCTACAGTGAAAGAAATCCTGAAAAAGAGGAGCCAACTCGCTCCTCCCCCACAAATGTCTCAACTGCCTCCAGGACGATAAAGAAGGAGCTCGAGTAGACTATATGCAGCGCTATATAGTGGGGTTGTGCCTTCCCCATATCAGATAATGCTGCCAAGGCCAGAAACAGCAGCGCGGGTCATGGGCAGAAGGGGCAGTGGGTGGAGGTAGGCAATCTTTCTGTAAGAGGATGAACTCTTTGCCGTTAATTGATTTGAGTTTGCACTCAAATATGCTCTATTTTGACATCAGCCAGGGTTTGTTTGATCCTGACAAATTTAGAGCAAAAAAATCCAGGCTGCACTTACGTTACACCAGGTTTCCCTTACAGTGTCACATGCTGTTCTCAGAGTAGCAGCCGTGTTAGTCTGTATTCGCAAAAAGAAAAGGAGGACTTGTGGCACCTTAGAGACTAACCCATTTATTTGTAGTCCCTAAGGTGCCACAAGTCCTCCTTTTCTTTTTACATGCTGTTCTGCGCTGCAACATTTCCCGTCACGGCTCTAGTATAGAAGAGCAACTGGATAGCGACTAAGGGGATGCCTACGCTACAAACACTCTGGGGCACTGAGTCTCAGAGCCTGAGTCTACAGATTCGGGCTTGCGCAATGACACTAAAAATAGCCATGTAGCTGTTCCCACTCATGCTGGAGCCCGAGCTCGGAAACTCAGAGTGGGGGTAGGTTTCAGAGAACTGAGCAGGAATGTCTGTGCTGCTATTTTTAGTGCCGTAGCACAAGCTCGAGCCTGTAGCCCTGGCCTCGGAGACTCACTGCTGCAAGCATTTCAGCGTAGCCATACCCTAAGGGCTTGCCTTCGCTGCCGTGTAAGCTCGAGCTCAGGCTAGCTGGAGGGAGAGCAGTCGCACCGCAAAACACTCAAGCAGCTGAGAGTATCTGCAGCCCCATTGCATTAGCACCCTGATGGGTCAGCTCGCTCACGTTTAAAGCACCAACTCAAGCGAGAGACGTGTGCGCAAACAGGATCTGGGTCGGGGCAACGCTCGAGTTACAGTTCGAGTAGGGTGACCAGATGTCCCGATTTTATAGGAACAGTCCTGATTTTTGGGGCGTTTTCTTATATAGGCTCCTATTACCCCCCTCTCCCATCCCAATTTTTCACACTTGCTGTCTGGTCACCCTAAGTTTGAGCTAACACTGCAACAAAGATGAGCCCTAACTTACTGCTCAGCCAGTCCCAGCCATTGGGAAGAGAATTGGTTAATAAGGCCCATTACTGATGCTCAGATTGGGGTGTAGCAGGGTTTGGCTTGAAGCAGGGGATATCCCTGTCTCTGTGGAGTTCGTTCCCTCACTGGCTGATGTAAATCAGTGTTGCTAGGAATGACTTCTCTCCGGCTCGCTATGAAAGATTTGTTTTTCCCTTTTTGCCTTCAGAATGCAGCAACTAGCAGCTAATTGCAGATGATTACACCCCAGCAGTCCCTAAGTCAGAGGCTTTATTCTCTCTGCCCTCTGCAAATTGCTCAGTTCCAGTTTTTTCACCTTTAAATATCACCAGGTCAAACTGCTCCTGCCTAGTCTACAGTGCACTGATGGAGATGCCACTGATGCTGACAAGGACAGGGTGACTCTGTAGTAAAATTTGAGTAGCACGGTTCCCTTGTAATATCAAAAAGTGGACTTCAAGCAGTGCTCAATTGCATACTGAGCAGGCTCCATCCATGAACACAGATTTCACAGGCTCCTGCACATGAGAGAAGCGTGTGCAGCATGCCCCCATCTGGTTAAGGAGCAGAACAGAAAAATGAAGCTAAAACCACACAAACCCTTAAATAGCTTGTGTAAAATGCACCACAGAGTCTGAAAGATAGAAAAGGATTCCCACCCACTCCCACCCCTCACCTGCATTACAGGGATTTCAGGGACAGCTCTTCCCTCTTCTTGACTTGAAATAAACAAGACCTTAGAGTTGGTTGAATTTTTCTGTAAAAACAACAATGCAGATTTGGCAACACCAAAGCATTTTGTAACTTCATGTCAGCTTCACCTAATCAAAATGTTTCACTGACATTTTTGAAATTCTAAGTTATTTTTGGTTCTAAATGACTGAGTTTTGAATTTCTTTCAATTTGATATAAAAATCAAAAAAGTTTTAAAATTATCAAAATCAAAAGTAAATGTTTTGATTTTGGTCAAAACAAAATGCCTTGGTCAATCTGAAGTTAATTGTTTCCCCTACTTTTTGGTTTGCCAGAATTTTTTCAAAAAATTTAGTTTTCAGGTAGACCCAAAATGTTTTCCCCCTGGAATTACCTGAAAACAGAAAAATCCCTTATTCACACATCTCTACCCGACACCTCTGTGTGGATGTTCTGGCTTCAGCTATCTTTTTGCTTGGATACACGTTTTCCCCGCCTTAGGTGGTTTTAGACTGAGTGGCAGTTCTGATTATTCTGGAGTTTCATTGATGTCTTAGGAATTTAAAGAGCCTTGATAAAACCCAGGGTGTAGCTGCGGCTTTCAGACAGCACCACTGCCCCTCCCTCCACTCTGGCCCCTCCGCAGGCTCTGATGCATGTTCTGTTGAACATGTTTATGGGTGGTCAGGGGTGTGTTCACAGCTGGCTTTAACTGTATAATAGCGTTCACAGCAAGACAGAAAGAAAGTCTTCCCTTTGCATTTTTTCTTGGCTATAGGGGATCTCAACTGTTCAGATGCATCCCTGTACACATAGGTGCTGCCGCAACCCCTGGCTTTAAGTGGTTTCCATTATATACACAGGGTTTACAGTTTGGTTCAATGGCTCTCACTGTACAATGGCTCCCACTATACAAATCGTTCCAGCAGCCCTGTCTGTACAAAACTCTTTGCCAGGGCTTCACACAGAGACTGAAATAGGGAACATGGCTGCCTTGCCCCACCCACTCAATTTGGTCTCTGTACTGCTTCTGTCATTGGCCTGGGGAAAGAAGGCAATTATAGAAGGGGGATGGGGGAGTGGAAAGTTCTGGGGAAAGGGACCTCTGCAAATGCCGATAAGGCCTGGAGACTGAGCCAGAGTGCAACACTGATGCCCTCTGCTGGACCACGCACAGTACCATCCTCCGTAGGAGCAGAAAGCACAATACACTCACAAAATTAATACATTACCTACCAGCCCCATGCTAGTATTTTCTAACTGCTACCACTGTATTTGCTTGAGGAAGTGTATAGCTTTGCAGAGATACCAGCTGGGGAGTAACAGAAAACAAAGATAAGATACATCAGTATGCGAGAAGATAGGAGTGGGGGTGTGAATGCTAAGGAACAAAAAGAATCAACATGTATGCCAGCTAAATAGACAAGGAGACCAAATTTTATCAGTTGCCAACTGTCAAGTGCTATGATTAATTCCCCACAGTCTAAGGAATAAGTGTGCCAGAAACAAGCAGCTGTTTGACATATTATAGCATGAAAAATTTCTGAGATTTAAAAAAAAATTACTTTCTATTAATTCTTTGCTAGAGCCCAGCCTTTCCTTATGTGTTTCAAGTGAAGAGCTGCTCTTGAGACTGAAAATGCATGCTAAATAGGAATGAATATGTTCGTGAAACAAGACTCCTCAGCTTTGCCACAGGAGCATTTATATTCATGTAACCGAACTTCCTCTAGAGAGATGACACTTGTTTGTTTGTTGCTTTTACACAGATCACATGGCACACAGATTCTTGGGGGGGGGGTAACACCAGGGGAGTACACAGCTACTTCTCTACCATCATCTGTAAAGTATTCACGGGTAGTTTAGTGTCAGTCTTTTCTAGCAACAGTCACTGCAAGGAACGGTGCAGAACCACAGGCTGTGAAAGCAGTTTAAGTATTCCAGGCCCAGTCTCTCCCAAATAGGAATCATCACTGAAGGATATTTGGAATGCTAGCAGTGTTATTCTACTCTTGTTACCGCACGGTCAAGATTTTAAAGAGTGCCTAGTGATTTGGGATGTCGGAGTTTTGGGATGCCCAACTTGAAATGCCTTAAAAGGGGCCCAGTTTTCAGAGGGTGGGTGCTTAGCACCCCCTGGAAATCACACACCTTTAAAGTGTCTTACAAACACCCCAGAACTGAGGGACCTGAGATCACTTGGCACTTGGCCAACTTGTATTGTTTTGCTAAGTTGATCTAACATGAAAATCTTTTCCTCCAACCACAGAAACTCTATGCTTGGACTCAAACTATATTGTCTACCTGGCTTCCTCAAGAGTCAGACATGTCAACATCTGAGGACATCCTGCCATTCAGCTTGGACTCTGGGATGTGCTGTGAGAATGACTCTGAGCCTTTAACTTCCCTGTCTGAGCCATTGACACCAGACACTTGCAGCCAAGCCTTCTCCATTGGGCAGGAGCTGGAGCATGACCAGCAGTTTGTTTCTCCACCTGACACACACAGCCAGCAGCAGCTGGGCAGGACCACCAAGTCCACAGATATCATTAAAGATTATCAACTATGGCTGGAAACATGCATTGCTGCCCTGGAGAAGAACGTCTCTGAGGAGGAGCTGGCTCAAGTGGACAAAACTGTGGATGCCCTGGCTAAGTGGGAAATGTTTACGGGGCAGCTCCCCACCATGAGAAAGGATCTGCCCTTCCCCAGAGACAACGTAGGGCTAAGGAAAGTCCTTGGAGACAAATTCTCCTCCTTGCGGAGGAAACTAAATTCTAGAAAACTGTCCAAAGCTGAATCTTCCCCTCATCACTGGAGTTGGGAGGAAAACTAGCACTCGGTCGGACTTATCCTTCTGCAGTCCTTGCTCCTTTCTGGGCTAGGAAAAGCAAGCTCAGCTCATCATTTTGATTTAAGTTTTGTTACATGATTGCCATGCATTTGGTCGTTCTCACCAGAAGTTACTGTCTGAGAAGGAAACAGGAACTCACTACTGGAATGAAATGTGTTTCTTTTGCTGAGGTTCTGAACATGGAATTTGTTTCAATCATTCAGGCACTCTAAGAGCTTATATACATGAGAAAGTCGCACCAGTTTAACCCAAGATGTGAATCCAAATCATGAACAAAGCTCTGTGTGGATGCTCATGTTTTGGTATAAAAGTGGCATATTTCAGTTTGGCTTAAGTTGGCTGGGAACTGGTTTATGGTTTATGTTAAATTAAAACAAGAGTGTCCACATAGGCGTATGTACCAGCTTAACTAAAACTGATGTAAGTTAAACCCATGCAAACTTTCCAATGTAGTCAAGGCCTCAGGCCATGGAGCATTTGCGGCTCTAAGCATGGAAACTGTTTCTTCATTGTGTTTTATACCAAATGTCTATTTCTAGCCATGTCCCTGGCCCACACGTTGCAGATTGCACCAAGCACAGGCGCAGAGCTGAGGCTTTCTAACCATCGCCCTGTGGAGTCCGGGTGAAGAGCAGACACGTGGTCTGGGAGAGGCAGAGGGGAACAGGCCGGAGGGGTGGGAGGGGAAGGGGGGGGTATAGCAAACAAGCAAGCAGGAAGAACCTTTTCTGCTTAGCCAACATAATCAGTGGTGTTCGCTTAAAGGGAACTATTGGCTCCCCTCCCGTTTTAGCTCCAGCAGCTGAAAAGCTGCCATACCTTCCTTTCCCCAAGATCCGTAAGTCTCCGCTGCACAGGCACGGGTGCCTCTACCGAGAGAGAGCTGCAGCAGAGCCTGTCTTTCAGTTGCTACTACATAATAACTTTTCAGTTATTTATAGCTTGGTGCTCCAGAGGCTGACAGTTTTTCAAGCCCTGTAATAGCGAGAGCCGCGTGTGCTGGCGGAGGCTGACTCTCCCCATTAGAGTCTCACTCAGAATTCCAACACTGATAATACACTCATCAACTTGCAGGGTAGTGGTCAGAGTTCAGATTGATCTGATCTAAAAATACCTTGAGTTCCCAACTGTCCAAAGCAGAAAGGAAAGTAAAACTGAGTCCATTACATTCAGCGTGGGGGGTGGGGTGGGGGGGCATTTCCTACCAGGCTGGAGCTTTGGGCTTTAATGAGAAAACTAAGCATGTCCCCTGCCCACCCCCCTACAATCTGAGATTGAGAAAGCCACAATAACCTGTGGATTCCATGGGGGATGGGGGGAAGGGAGGGAGGGGTTCGGGGAAGACACCTGAAGAAAACTTGTGGCCTGCTAATGCAGGTGATTGCAGGAGAAAATCTGTAGTGACCTTAGTTAAGCTTCCTTAAAGAAAAATGTATAAAAAAATTAAAACCAGCATGATTCATATAAAGAACAATGGGGGTTCTGACTTCTAAAAGACGAATGATGTCAATTACTGGAAAGGCATTTTTTCCAGTCTGCACATCTGGAATCCATGTTATGTGAACACTGCTGCTGCTGCTGCCACCTGCTGGCTGTCTAAGGACATTTTAAAAAAATCACTCCATTTAAGATTTCTCAGACAAGCAGAAACTTTAAAACAAGTCATACTTGAACTACAAATCCATCCATTAGCCTAAATCTTGGTCTAGAGTGTTTCTTAAATACATTGACTAGTTTTTGAGAAGAGCTTATTCCTTTTTGCCTCTTTACTGCAGAATCAAGCCCGAGCCAAGTTATAAGGCTGAATTTAAGAGCATTTCCAGAGAGATGTTACTAATGCAAGACGTTATTGCTAGAGAATCCAGTGGGGAGTGTGGCAGATGCAGCTCTCAGCTCAGACGCAATTGCGAAGGGAATACAGAAGAGGAGGGGCTAAGCTGAAGTGCAGAGATATGGAAGTCTCCCTTGTGGACAATGACAAAAACAGAGGGAATGCTTGGCTATTCTCACTCACTATTTAGGAGAAGCCAAAAACAGGGAGGGACAAGAAACCTGGCTGGGGGGGGGAGGGCAGACTCTGGTTGGCTATAGACATTTTTGCTTATACAGTTATTAGTAACCTGTCAACAGTATCCCTGCTTTCATGGAAGAGTTTAGATCCTCCTGCTTCATGCTCCACAACCATGGAAATGTTTGCAATAGTGTAATCATGGATATAGCAACCACTTACCAGTTCAGAGAATCTAGGATCACTCCAGGTAAGGACTAAAGGAGCTCTGGAACTCAGAGCTTCACACATCTACATAGATAGCTGAAGAGGATCCAGGGCCATAATGTAACTTCAGAGAGATAGATGTAAAGCCCCAACGCTGCTCTGCTGAGCCTTCAAGCAGCTGTACAGTAGAGTCTGTCCAATACAGATCAGTAGACTTTTGTTCATGCGGAAGGATCACATTCCTTTGCAGCAGATTATACTCTGCACCAGTAGATAGATGTCCAGTGAAGCTCTCTTCATCAGGGCACAGTCATTCATTCTCATTAAGAGAATATCCAGTTAACAGAGACTACTTTCATTGTAATGCTGCTAAGCAGAGAGCGCTGTGTAGCCCAGGAGTTCAGAAATTGTTACTGGTCAGACTCATGGGCAGCTTATGTGCCTGAGAACATCAACTTACAGACCCAGCAGTAGCCAATATACACCGATATGGGGCGTTGACACCAAAGATGCAGATTAGTAATGTTTAGCGCACTCACATAGCAGGTCTGATTACCAAGGTGAGCAAGTATCATTACCCACTTAATAGAGATGGAGAAACTGAGGCACAGCATGGTGAAGGGACTGGCCAAAGGTCCTGCAGAAAGTCCTTTTCAGAGCCAAGTCACAAAGACGCATTCTTGCCTTTTGTGTGCGACACAGCTGTGGATGGATGGAAAAGGGGAGGAGCAAACAGCCAGACTATCCCAACAGCTGTTAAATTAGATGAATGCTGCCCTGTTAAAAGGAGTTATCCTCCCCTTTAAGTATCAGTCAGTGCTATTGAGCACACACGGTTTTAAATTACTTCCCTCCTAGACATCTTGATTAAGGAGAGTGCGCTGGTGAAGACACAGGTTACAGCTATTAGCTGTAGAGGGGCAGGGCACAAGAGGAGGGGATTTGGGTTTAGGAAGTTAATTTGAAGGACCCATAATCAGCAAGAGGTAGATGAGCACTTTACACACACTGTAAGCCAAGAAACTTAGTCGCAACCCACTGGTGGGGTCACAGAGTGTTACAAATGGGTCAGGCACATACAGAGCTCCATTGTACTGTAAATAATGGGTAGGAGGGCCTGGGCCTTTTGTACTACACAGCACTTCAGACCTCAGCTGGGGAGGCTTTGCATAGGGAAGAAGGGTGAAGGGCACAAAGCTTCATGGCTGATGCAGCGTTCATTGATTATTTTGGGAACACCCTCCATTGCATTAGGATAGTGTAAGTGAAAGCACACCACCACTACACGAAGGCAAAGCACTCCTATGGATCTAAGGAGCTCCCCAGGATCCCAGGGAGACCATTTACAGTGGGTTGGTGGCTCATGAACAGAGCAAGGAGAGGGAGATTGGCATACAGGAGGAGCACTGGCTGCTACCAGAGAAGCTTAAACTGCCCATGAGCAGAACTTTGCTTCTGTGAGATTAAGCAGCTCCTTTTCGTTGCTGCCCAGCTCCTAAGCTGTGCAGGGCTCTTCTGCAGCTTCGGTAGCAGCATAGGGCAGGCTAGCTACAGTGTATAACTCCCTACCCCTGCAATAACAGAGCTCCACTCCTGAACTGAACTGCCTAGAAGTCTTCTCTGCCGTACTACCACTGAGAATATCTTGCTGTCCTGAAGCGCAACAGGTCTAGAACAGCCTTGGCTACTACCTAGCCACTGTCCTCATGGCAGCAGCTCCAGGAAACCCACCAACTGCAGAGGCAAAGATACAAAAGCACGTAAAATAATGAGGGGGTGGTGTGCACGTACACACTGGAAGGGGATAAGATGACTGGCATTTGTTCTGGATTTATGCGAACATCTGCCCAGCTGTATCATCATGCGCAAGGGGCCTCACTTCCACCTGCTTTTTGAAGTTGCCACTTCAATCTTTCAAATGACAACCCAAGACCAGAGATTTCAAGAGTGCTTTAGAGGTGGATCAGCTAAGTTCAACTGGTGCCACATTAAGTGTCTGAATTCAATATACTTTCTAGCCTATTACCCAAAAGCTCAGTGGTGGTTCCAGTATCCATTATGTTGATACTGATAAACACTAAAAGCAGACAGACTATTTTAAGCCATTCTTGCCATTTCTTAAACCTATAATTCTCCATACAGCACCAATGGGCTTAGTGATTACTTGACCTTACAAGCTCAAGAAAGCAGAAGCCTCCATTAGGAAGGACAAGATCTAATGGGTAGGTCAGCCTTCCACTGCTAAATCATTGACACCCTGTGGGTTGCGTTCACATCACCAATACTAGGAAGTTACTGTGCCCTACAAAGGCAGGGGAGCAAGAGAAAGGCATTAGAAGGATAGTTTCACCCAACCATGGGTGCAACAGCTTGCAAACAAGGGTCTGCACAGGAAAAGAGGGAGGCTGCTTTTTCTTGTAGATGATAATTTCATTAGTTGAAGACAAGGTGCTTAAGGTATTATCTTTTATTGGGCCATCTTTTATGGAAGAAGCCAAGAGCAGCTTTATGGAGCTCAAAAGCTTGTTTCTTGCACTGTTCATTTAACACAAGTTGTGGTGGGTTTTGTTGGGTTCTTTGTTTGGGATGGGGCGGAAGGTGTTATTTTTAAAAGATCCTATTTTTTAAATGAAACCCAAAACATTCCTACAACCAAACTTCCCTCAGTTGACACTACTGTATGGCTTTCCAAGGCTCCACAGTCAGGAAGGCAGAAGTATGGTCCTCGTTAGATTAATAACTGAATAACCCTCCTTTTCATAACCATCACCCACAACTTTAAGAACAGGAGTACTTGTGGCACCTTAGAGACTAACAAATTTATTTGAGCATAAGCTTTCATTGGCTACAGCCCACTTCATCAGATGCATAGAATGGAACATATAGTAAGATATAGATATACACATACACACACACACACACACACACACACACAGTGACAAAGTTCCTGCTCTACCTTGGTGGGTCTTGCGCTTATTGGTGGATTTGCTGGCCTTGGAGCTTCACGGCAGCCCTCAGCTTGACCGTTTTTCTGAACCCACAGTCCAGGTCGACTCCTCCTGTGTTTGACCAGGAGTTGGGAGGATTTGGGGGGAACCCGGGCCCGCCCTCTGCTCCGG